TATACATTATTGTTTAGGGGTCAGCTGAACCCGACTCCGGGTGCGGGATTTTCTCGCTGTGTTGAAGACCCATTGGTGGCTGTTTTCTTTTCTTTGGTCATGTTGTTGTCTCTTTGATGCATTCCCCGTTTCCATTCTCATTTTTACAGGTAGTCCATTTGAAAATGACAAAACTCAACCGGCTGTTAATTAATAGATTTTTCTTTATCGAGGGAAAATACATAGAAATTCAGAGGAAATATTACGTTTTTATAGTAATGCCATCTTTTTAGGAGTATTTTGTGTAGATTAGATTTTGTTTATATAAACATAACATTAATAGACCTCTTGGTACGTTGAATAGAAATAATTGTTGTTTAAAGGTCAAACGATTTTTTTCAATTTTGCATCCTTTAATATAATATAGCTCATCATTAGCGTGGATCGAAAAATATCCATCCGAATTTCACAGTTTTGGTATTGATTGAGCGCTCTTGGTGAAGGTAAATCAAGAAAAGCGCGTCGGACGTATAAAAATAATTGAGTGTTATTTTCATTTTAATAATACAAGAGTCAGAAAAGGTCACTTTCCATAATTCTTGCAAAATGACGGAATGTTCATGTTTTACCTTTGGCCTATATGTTAAAACGGAATTTTCATAATACAACTTTTTAATGTCCCTGCGAAACAGAAAATATCACAGACCTGAGTTAAGTAGGCAAATTAAAGTCCATAAATGAGTGGTTTTTTTTTTAAATAATGAAATATATAAACTGTAACAGTTTAGTAAGGAAAACGGAAGTTTGTGATTCATGGTACGATTCTGAGGATTGTATTTTACCAAGGGACCGTGCAATATTTATCAGGCAGTGGGACCGGTGCAAACCACTGTTGGATAAACACATTTTTCATCCACCTCAGGCATAGGGTCTCCACTTTTTTTCACCTTTGGTGACCATAGGACATGAAGATTTATTCAAACTATTGCTATCAAACAAACAAACAAAATATTAACTAAATATCCAAACAAGAAATATTTGTACAATCATTAAAATAGTTTATATTATAACAAAAAAAAAAACAATGTAAACTTTTATTAATTTGTTATATTTAAAAGTATAGTTTGTTTGTTAAAATATATTAGATTAAAAATATATGTTGCTAAACTTTTTTCTCAGTATACATGTGCTTCATAATAGGAAACGCACTTAAATGATATTTACTATAATAATTGTTTGATTGGCAAATTTTATAAATGTTCAAGTATGACATATCGGCTCTTTATGGTTTTGGCTTAAATCATCATCTCTAATATTTTATCATGGAAATACATGATATGAATTATCTCATGTTTAACAATTTGCAGACAAAATAAACATGAACATTAAATAACAAGTATTAATTATCAAATAAACAAGTCAAATGAAGAAAACTCTTTCAATGTAAATAGGCATAGTTGAACAACACATACATATATTTTATCAGATGTAATTGCATACCCTATGCATGCACTTTAATATTTCATAAATGTAAGAACCGTTCTTGCATGTTTTTACATGTATATATCTTCATTAACAAATGAAATCAAATATCCATGACATAAATTCAACAAAAAGAGGCAAATATAATTGGAGTACATACAAAATTCAAACTCTTCTATTCTTCAAATTTAGCATGTGTATAAGAGTATATTTCTTTAAAGGGAGCTAATACATGTTTTCTTCAATTTTTATTTTTGCAAGTTTAGGTTCATGTGGACCTTTTGGCTAAAATGGCTGCGTTTTCTCCTCAAAATTTACTCTGAGGACAGACAAACCTGTGCATCTGGAAAAGTTTTAAGGCATAGCATGCCCTAGATAAATAAAATTCAAATACATTGTATGTTTTAGAAAATTAAAAACTTAACTGGATTTTGCGGTGCACTTTTTTTCGTCCCAGCAGAAGATGATAAAATTAACAAACAGTTGAGTTTCACTTGATATGGTCCACTCAGGTACACAGTTTAAATCACCAATGATTGTCAGGTATCTATTGTCCATTTATTGTCCATGTCAATCAATACAGTTCACTTCAATTATTACCTTTGGGGAAGTTCTCAAACCTCTTTCACAACTTAGTTTATTTTGGCACCGTCTGGAGGAATGAAAAAAAGTGCACTGCAAAATCCTGTTTAGTTTTTAATTTTCTAAAACATAAAATATATTTGAATTTTATTTATCTAGGGCATGCTATGTCTTAAAAATTTTCCAGATACACAGGTTTGTCTGTACTCAGAGTAAATTACGAGATGAAAATGCAGCCATTTTAGCCAAAGGGTCCACATGAACCTTAACATCACATCTACAATAGAAATACTTTTATTTTTTTGAAGGTTTACATTAAAATAAATGTATTAAGATCAAAATTTGTATTTGCAACTTTTCTGTTCATAGAAGACTTCAATAAGTCATAAAAGTCATTTGACAAAATTAAAGCAGATTCTAGATTTCCTTTCTTACGATTTGAAGACCAAATAATGCCAATGGTAAATATAAAGTAAACGTTCAAGAAAGCTTCTCTCCCTATTTTTTAAACATCAAATATCTCGAAAAGGAGTTCCATATCCTATCAATATTTTTAGCTTATTTGTTCCTTATAAACTTATGCTGTTCTGATTTATAATATCCATTTTAAATTCCAGACTTTTTTAAAATTTTACTTAAGTACAATCTTAAAAGTCTTTAATATTGTATTATTAATCACGTACATACTTAAAACAACAATATCATGTCAAAATCAGTTTTCATTTATTATTGCATCACTAAGGGCATCCTATCATTATCACTTAGTGCCAGATTAATTCAGATAAAGTTTATAAGACAAATACTTTTTTTCTGCATGGAAGTCATAGGACATTGAGTTTTTACATCCCAAATCAGTATAGGACATTCACTTTTTTTTGTCAGAACAAGAATTTGCACCGGTCCCACATCCCTGATATATATTGCGTGGTCCCTAATGGATTGGAAAGAAGAATATTGTTTCTGAAATCGTCTTGGGTTTATTATTAGTCAATGAAACTGGTCTAAATAAGAGGCTATCCCAAGCTTGCACGTATCATTTAACCAACTTCTGCTTTCTATCGTGTTAAGGTTTTCAGTGTAAACTAAATCAACAATCAATCTTAGAATAAAATTTTTTTTAAAAGACAACCGATGTACCATATTAAAAGTAAGATATATGTAGCCACGGAGCATTACAAAGAAAGTTGGCAAGACCACATTTACCTGCATGTTTCTCAATAGACATAGTTGAAAGAAGATTTAAACAAAATATCACCATTCGTATTATGAAATTGTAGCGTTGTAAGCTTAAAAGATACTAATTATATGTTGATTTCATCATAAAAAACATACAAATGCGGCTAAAAAATTGTGTCTCAAATACTTGACAGATGGTCAAGTTCACAAATAAATAAATTTTGGATATTTGCAATTTATAAGTTTATAAGAACAAACATAGACCCAGTCCGTAGTAGTACGTAATATCAGAAATATGAGACACGCGTTGGAGCTTACAATTGAGTAAGACGTTTCGGACAGACTACATGTACCACTTCGGCCATACTTTGTTTCAGCCATGAGATTTTGTTATGAATGTTATAACTCGGGGTTGATAATGTAATTGTTTCCACATAACGACATGAACAAATGGAAAATACTTTAATTATAAATCATGCAATGATATTTTGTGCTGAAAATCTTGTCAGTTTTAATTTACACGACTCATGATGCAAAAAAATCAACCTGAGACAAGACTGACGTGTGGATAGGGGTCCTCCGTGACGTGTGGATATGGGTCCTCCATTTCTGTATTCTTTGTTTTTTATGGTAATTTTTCTTTATTCTTTATAGTTTTTGTCCATTTCTCTCTATTCTTTATATTTTTGCAACCCCGTTATTCGCTCTTCTTAACTTTTTGTCTTATTTTTTCTACTCTTTTTTATTTTTTATGCCAAATTTTCTGTAGTATTTGCCCATAAAATCGGTAGTTTGCGGATTTTGTGAGTTCATTGAAATCTATGGCAAACAGACTTTTTAATTTGTATTAATTAGTTAAAAATACATAATAAACATTTCAAATTAGATGCATACTAAAGGAATAAAACTAAACAGTCCTTGTAAAACATGATGAAATTAGAATTTAAAATGCCAATGCACATTTTAAAAGAATAAAATTTTACTGAAAAAAGCTTCAAGTTGTAAAAACTAGAGTGTGAAATTTTTTTTCTAATAAAATGCAAAACAGAAATAACAGAAACTAAAATTTTAAGACATCTAAAACGACTAAAAATAAAGCTTAAACCTTGAATGTATACATAAATTAAAGAAGCAAGTAATAAGATCAAATTCCAAATGTATAAAAATAGATGCATTTGATAATTATACATCCATTCAGAACTCCGGATTCATCCTTTACTACACCTACTGTTGCACCTGAAATATAATAAATATGTAATAGGTTAAAATGAACAATGTTATGTATGATGAATAAATTAATTTGAATTAGTTATGTGTTATATCAGAGTCTGGTTATATATATGTATGGCTAATTTATTTATTTTATTTATATATTTATTTTAAGAACTTTTAAAAACTATTTTTATTTTGTTTTGTTTTTTCACTTGTTTGTAATGCTTTTTAATCATTGTTAATTTGATTATCATTTATTTTTTTCTATCATAGATTCCATTAAATATAATTATAGTTAATACTTATTTAAAGGAAAAATATTTCAAAACTAACAAGGGACGTTTCTTAACTCTGTGAGTAATCAATTTATTCACTAATTGCAATGATTTCCGCTTTTATATAACGTTTATCCCGATCCGATGATATTTAATAATAAAACCGCATGCGGAGTCGCGCAGACACTGCCTTTTTGAATTAATTGAATTAAAAAAAAATCCCGTTTAAACATTTTTTTTTGTCAAGGTCCTTCCAGAACCAAATCCAAGCATTAGTGAAACCTTAACTGATTATCTCCCCTTCAAAACGCGCCGTATTTTCGATTTGGACAGAAAATGACAACAAATATATGTAAGTTGTTAGTTGAAGATTGTTCAACTTATTACAACTAGGTGCAGTAAATTATTAGCAGACATGACAGAAGAGAGTGATCAAGAGAACTTGAATCAATGTTATTGTGATAGTAACTCGAGTGATAATGGGCAGTTTCAGTCTGGGCTGCCACAAAACAGAACGTGCAAATGGACCATTTTGGACCTACGAACAGTTGGTCTTTTCTACTACAATGAATCTACACCTGTCATAACCCTACTAGACATGATTACCAGTCAAACAGGGATGTTTGAACAGTTATCTTTTGAACAAAAGCAAGTCGTCCAAAGTCTTCAGAGAAATATAACTTTTAATTACTCTATGGATGACATAACTTTTGGTGATGACTGTTTGAGTGAAACCCAAGAAAATTTGAACATAATCAAACAGGAGGATGTTGTGTAAGTCAAATCTATCAAAACGGCCTTTCAAAGTCATAAGTATCCTGATCCTGATCCTAAGGTCAATATTATGACACAACTGTTCTCTTTGTACTGGATTTTTTCATCCTGGTACTTAATTTCTCCGTTAGTATTTTCACACGGTACTTATTGGTTAATTTGTTAGGTGCAGGATCAGGGGTTTTCAGGGATAAATGAATCTTTAAATCACCCTGAAATTTTTACATATTCTCCAATTACATCTGCTGTTCTTTTGTACGTCTCCTTACTTGCTGGTATCAAAGGACATAAGCTAAATTTGGGCTTTATCCTTTTCTGCCAAATTCAGACACGACAGTTCAGTCCACGATCTCGCATCTGGCAATCTCCGGCATCTGGCCAGAGTATAATCAAACCTATAGATAGGTATAGATTTACACAATTTGAGCAAGAATTATTGCAGGTTGCTTATTTTTAAACATGTTAAATGTCCATTCGATCATAAACCAGACAAACATTGACAAATTCTTGTACAGTTTAAGATTGTTCCTGAAAATTGAATGGTCATGCTTTGATCAAGCCTGATGTGCTTAGCTATATTAAGTACTGAAAGCATAAAGAAAATATATCACGAACAGTGATTACTTTCAACAATTTTTCTTCATCTTTACACAAATTACATTAATGCCAAACCAGAACACACTATTACAGTCATGTCTTTCAAGTGAGTTGACATACATCATGCATGACATGTTACTGTGAAAGTACTTTTATTCGTGTGGTACCAATTTTCGTGGTTTTATCCACGAATTTAAGTGTCCATCGAAATATAACAACTGTTGTCCAAATCAAGACATGAAAAGACCCCCTGTAGGTTTGACTACATACATAGTGCCACTACAAATATTTTTCGATCCTTTTATGTTCAGAGAAGGAAATCAGATATTTTTTTAACCTAAAGCATGTAACAGAGGAATTTGTGTACAAAGAACTATGCAGTTTAAATATAAGTAAGAGCATGGGCCTAGATGGTATTCCAGCAAGGTTTCTTAAGGATACAGCCCCAATTCTGAAAATACCCATTACTTTCTTTCTCTGAAGGTACGGTACCTGACGATCTGAAAATGGTAAAGGTCAAGCCCCTACTTAAGAAAAATGATAGACATACATGTAAGCCTGAAAATTACAGGCCTGTTAGCATTTTAAGTATTGTTTCTAAAATTCTAGAAAAAGCTGCCTATAAGCAACTTGAAAAATTTTTGATTTCAAATAATTTATCATTTGAGTTTCAGTAAGGATTTAGAAGTTCATATTCAACTGATTCTTGTCTCATTCACTTGATAGATCACATTAAAGCTCAAACAGCCAAAGGTCTTTTTACAGGCATGGTCCTATTAGACCTACAGAAGGCATTTGACACAGTAGATCACAAGATATTATGTGACAAATTAGAAGTAATTGGGGTTAGATCTATACCTTGGTTTGAGTCATATTTGACAAACAGAAAGCAGGTTGTAAGTGTAAATGGGGTGATTTCAGAAGTGTGTAATATTACATGTGGTGTCCCTCAAGGCACATGTAGCTTACTGGGTCCACTTTTGTTTTTGATATATGTCAATGATCTTCAAACTACACAGTGTTCCAGCTAGGTCGTTTTCACAGGGCGGTCCGCCCGCCCTTTCCCGAGTGCCGCCCTGTGCCCTTTTTAGAGTGAGCAGGGCGCCCTGCCTTTTTTGAAGATCGATTGGTATATCATGTATATTATTTTGTTCGTATTGATATGATCAGCCAATTACGAAAATTTACCTGGCGACAAGTATATGACTTTGTTTACGACCCCAAGCTAATCAATGGTTACAACAGGTGTCATAATCTGTTGTTGTAGGTTATCCGTTTATCGGATGGGTCATTTAATGATCATCAACATTAATTCATTCAAATAGAATCGGTCAGTCTGCATTTGTCTTTGAACTTGAAGAAATGAAGAAAGATAACTCAATCTTATTTTTTCCTAGCATTGAGTAACCTACTAAGATAGTATAAAATATGTCTTCATACTTCTGGCTTTAGAATTTATATGTTTAGGTGTTTTGAGTTATGGGAAAAGTTAAAGAGGGTCTTAGTAACAGGGTTGGTAGGGTGCCTTTGTCATCTTTTTCTGTACTTTTTATTTTCAATCCAAATTTTCACTGTTCACTATATCCTAACATTGTGCATTTACAGCTGTTTTGTGCTGTTTATTTAATTGCCATTAAGCACAGAAAAGGTAGAAAGGTGAAACTTGTAAAGTGTGTCAGACCATAGAAACAGAATGAAGCAGGACATTTTTCAAAAAATACTGCATATAAAGCTAAACTGTGCCAAGCAATGATTTAAAACTTGTGTCACAAGCTGCTTGATAAGTTTTCAGATAAAAAGTAGAAAGATAGTTTTTCTCTGGGCTAATGATGTTGTTCTTGTATATTTATAACCAGTGATTCAATGAACAAACAATGTTTGATTATAATCTTTATTAAAACATGCCCTTTTCATATTACCGGTATCATATCACGCGTTAAATGCCCTTTTTCAGGATTGGGACCCTGCCCTTTTCAAGGCTTTTGAAATCCTAGCTGGAACACTGCTACATGTAGCATCGACTCAGACTGTAAAGTTTTGATATATGCAGATGATACTGCAATTTTATTTTCCCATATGGACCCTGGGGTCATCTCGCATAAATTATCCAGAATGCTGGAATCATGCCATGATTGGTTAACTGACAATAAATTGTCCCTACATTTGGGAAAGACGGAGAGAATAATTTTTGGTCCTGGTCAAAAACTTTGGTCTTTAATACCGGGTGATTTTGCTATCTCCTGTAATGGTATTAATATTGAATCCAAAACTTTTGTAAAATATTTGGGAATAATAATTGATCAGTTTTTAACTGGTGATTTTATTGTCAACTCTATAGTGAAAAAAGTCAATCAAAGGCTTAAATTTCTATATAGAAACAAAGAGTGTCTAAATTTTCAATCTAGGAAAAATTGTGCTCTTCATCACTGATTCAATGTCATTTTGACTATGCATGTGCATGCTGGTATGAAGGTATATCAAAACAAATGAAGAATAAACTTCAAGTGGCACAAAATAAGATTGTGAGATTTATTCTGCAATTACATCCCAGAAAGAGTGTGACATATATTGAATTTAAGAAATTGGGCTTTTTAGATATTGGTAATAGAGTCAAACAACTAAGACTCAATCATGTTTTCAACATTTTTAACCATATATGCCCAAATTATTTACATACTAATTTTGTTAAAAATGAAACATCTTTCAATACAAGATCTAGTCATGCTAGTAGTAAAAACTTTTATATACCAGGAATTAAAGGGTGTGAATCCACTACTTTCTTTTATAATGGAATAAAAGACTGGAATTCGTTACCAGACATGATTAAAAGTTGCCCTAAAAAATATAATTTTAAAGTACAAGTGAAAAAGTTTTTGATGGATAAATTTAGATCCATCTTTAATAGTGAATTTAAGTTTTATTAATTATACTGGGGCTTTGACCATATATCTGTGATAAATTCTAAATGATTTGTGCTTGTATTTTCTGTGTGTCAACCCTTGGTGTAAACTGGAAGTCTCGTTATAAAAGGACCCCACTGGAAATAAGTTTTAATAACTTTTGTGGGTCATCCTACAGTCAAGGGTGTAACTTGAATAAGTTATTAGGGAAAAATAACATACATGTGTTATTACGGATACTTTCTCTTAATCTGTAGTAACATATGTTTGTTATCAGTTAAATGTACCATAAAAAAAATTATTTTCAGTGGGCACTTGGGAGTTCTTGAAACTTGCCCAGTAACTTAATACATAACCTTGAAAACTAATTTTCCAATTCAATTAATACATTTTTGATCAACCATGGTAAATCAATGAGACAAGGCTTTTAAGTGATAACTTAGCTTTAATAACAAGGCTTAGTTATTACAGGCGTTTAACTTATTACATGAGACACTTGGGAATGACTAGGAATCTTGCACAGAACCTCATTACATGCTCTTATCATTATTTATTACTATAAATTAAAATACATTGTGATATATGTAGGAGAAAAGGCTTTAAAGAGATGTAGAGAAGCTGTAATAACACCCTTTAGTTATTACAGGCATATTTTTTCTGTAATAACATGGGTGTGTTATGCATGATTGGCAAACTACGGGCTGTTATCATGGTTATATCTTTCTAAAGTTTAATAAACATAAAGACAATTATAATATCAATAGAACTAGTACACAATTTAACAAAATAAAGGATGTATAATGCCCTTTGAAACATGTAACATACATATGTTATCACAGATTTTTGATTTTTTAGCCCTCAATAACAAATGTATGTTATTTTTCTCTAATAACTTATTAATGTTAGACCCTTGACTGTCCTAAGATATTAAAAAAAAAAAATACGGGCATATAATTATAATCTAGACAAAACATTGAATATCAGCAATCACACTATGAACTATATGCAGTGGCTTAGCACCAGTGTAGCATGTACAACTTCAGACAGTATTTTAATCTTTCAAAAAAAGTCCTATGGCATTTAACTTTTCAATTATCATGAAAAATTAATTTTGAAAGATGAAAGTCAGACTTCCGTTGATGATATAGAATGATGAAGTGTTTATTTTATCTCCACATAGTTCTCTCATGAAAAAAAAAAGATTTTATATTGGACTTGCTTTTTTGTCGAGCCTGCGACTTTTGTTGCAGAAAGCTCGACATAGGGATAGTGATCTGGCGGCGGCGACGTTAGGTAACTTCTTAAAAGCTTTATATATTAGAAGGTGGAAGACCTGGATGCTTCATACTTTGTATATAGATGCCTTATGTTACGAAGTTTCCGTCTGTCATATGTCCATTGTCCTTGACCTCATTTTCATGGTTCAGTGACTACTTGAAAAAAAAGTTGAGATTTTTTGTAATGTTAATTTCTCTCTTATTATGAGTAAGAGGATACCTATATTTGGTATGTGCGTACCTTGCAAGGTCTTCATGCCCGTCAGACAGTTTTCACTTGACCTCGACCTCATTTCATGGATCAGTGAACAAGGTTAAGTTTTGGTGGTCAAGTCCATATCTCATGCAGATACTATAAGCAATAGGTCAGTATATTTGGTGTATAGAAGGATTGTAAGGTGTACATGTCCAACTGGCAGGTGTCATCTGACCTTGACCTCATTTTCATGGTCAGTCAGGGGTACTACTTGTACAAGTAATTTTTATTTACTTGAAGAAGTAATTATAATATACTTATATAAGTAAATTTGTAGGATACTTATACAAGTGTATTTTATTTACTTGTATAAGTAAATTATTTTTTGGCCTAGTTATGTCCCTTAGACATTCAGATTTTTTTACTTATACAAGTAAAAAAGTCATCATATCTTCTTTTCTTGAATCTTAGAACTTCTTTGCTCTAACAGAATTTTGAATTGTTTGTTCTTTGCAGATGTCTTTACTATTCATTTAAGTGTAATTTCATGCACAATGAAAATCTCATTTGTCTGTTATCTTTAGAACACCATGAACACTGCTCATTAACAAGCCCCCAAGGAGCAATTTTTGAAGGCCTTGCACAAATACTTAAGATCTTTGCTCAATCAGTTTCTTTGTTGAATTAATGAGATGAAACATTGAACTCTTATAAAAAATTATGAGCTAACCTGAGAAAAATTGTTAAAGGCATGATTTTACATCTCAAAACTTGAGAATTTTTGTTGGACTGTAAAAAATTTACTTATATACAAGTAAATTTTTTAGAAAATTAAGGGGAGATTATTCAAACATTTTAATTAACTTGTATAAGTATATTTTATTTACTTCTTCAAGTAAATAAAGATTACTTGTACAAGTAGTACTCCTGACTGAGGGTTCAGTGGTTATAGTTAAGTTTTTGTGTTTTGGTCTGTTTTTCTTATACTTTATGCAATAGGTCTACTATATTTGGTGTATGGAATGATTGTAAGGTGTACATGTCCAACTGGCAGGTGTCATCTGACTTTGACCTCATTTTCATGGTTCAGTGGTAAAAGTTAAGTTTTTAGTTTTGGTCTTTTTTTCTAATACTATATGCAATAAGTCAACTGTATTTTGTGTATGGAAATATTTTATGATGTACATGTCAGTCTCGCAGGTTTTATTTGACCTTGACCTCATTTTCACTGTTCATTGCTCAGTGTTAAGTTTATGTGTTTCGGTCTGTTTTTCTTAAACTATAAGGAATAGGTCTACTATATTTGTTGTATGGAAGGATTGTAAGCTGTTCATGTCTGCTTGTCATGGTTCATCTGACCTTGACTTCATTTTCATGATTCATTGGTCAATGTTTAGTTTTCTTGGTTAAGTCTGTTTCTTAGAAACTATAAGCAATAGGTCAACTATATTTAGTGTATTAAATGATTGTAAGGTGTACATGTATTTCTCGTTTGGTTTATATGACCTTGACTTCATTTTCTTGGATGATGTTAAGTTTATGTAACAGTTGTAGTAAAGCTTTCATTTAGGACTATCATCATAATATCAATGGTTAGTAAAGAAGGCGAGACATTTCAGCGTGTGCACTCTTGTTTTCATAGGTATTAGTTCAAAGTACATTTGTTGCATTTTTGTTGAGCCTTCAACTTTTGTTGAAAAAGTGAGACATAGCGATCCTACATTCCGTCGTCGTCGTTGGCGTCCACAAATATTCACTCTGTGGATAAAGTTTTTGAAATTTTAATAACTTTCTTAAACTATCCTGGATTTCTACCAAACTAGGACAGAAGCTTGTTTATGATCATAAGATAGTATCCAGAAGTAAATTTAAAAAAAAAAATCCATTTTTTCCGTAATTTACCTCTAAATGGACTTAGTTTTTCTGCCAGGAAACATTACATTCACTCTGTGGTTAAAGTTTTTAGAATTTTAATAACTTTCTTAAACTATCCTGGATTTCTACCAAACTAGGACAGAAGCTTGTTTATGATCATAAGATAGTATCCAGAAGTAAATTTTGTAAAAAAAAAAATCCATTTTTTCCGTATTTTACTTATAAATGGACTTAGTTTTTCTGCCAGGAAACATTCCATTCACTCTGTGGTTAAAGTTTTAAAAATTTTAATAACTTTCTTAAACTATCCTGGATTTGCACCAAACTTGTACAGAAGCTTGTTTATGATCAAAAGCTAATATCTAGAAGTAAATTTTGTTCCTGTTTTTCCATATTTTACTTATAAATGGACTTAGTTTTTCTTCCAGTTAACATTACATACAGTCTGCAGTTAAAGTTTTTAAAACATTTATTAGATTCATAAACTATCCTGGATTTTTACTAAACTTGGACAGAAGCTTCTTACAATCAAAATATACATGTAGTATCGAGAGGAATATTTTAATTTTTTTCTTCCTCATTTTTGTTGAGCCTGCGATTAAAAGCAAAAATAGGCGAGACACTGGGTTCCATGGAACCCTTACAAATTTTTTATGCAACCCTGTTCTTTAAATGACATGTTTATGGTCCAATTAACACCTTTGATGATGGGTAATCTGTTGATCATTAGATCTCGGGTTAATTAGTGTAACCACTTCTGATTACACTGGGGGACCAGTTAAAATATTAACTTTGCAATTTCTTTCAATCGAGACAATTTGTATTCAGAGATGAATCAGCTTATTTCTGAACATGCTGAAAGCAATTATTTTATTAAAATTTGATGAATGTTGTCAGAAATGAAAAATGAATATGTAAGAGAAAATGAACAACATAAAATTATTTTCGAGAATCTTTGTTTCTGATGGGTTCAAATTCTTCACCTGAATTTGTTTTCAGAAAACTAAAATCCACGAATTTAAGAACCCACGAACATGTAACTTTTGTTCAATTCACGAAAATTGATACCCACGAATAAAAGTTCTATCACAGTATTGAATTTTTTAATAAATTATTGGGAACTTCATTCATCATGTTCATAAAAGCAAAATTGGAATCTTGTGTGTATAAAATATTTCAAGTTGGTAAGTCAAATAAGAAAATTTATTCTCCAAAATGGTGGCCAAGGGAAATAACTCAAACTCAATTTGAAACTTACATACATGTATACACAGTACACACACACCAGTACCATTCATACCAGAAAACATCTGAAAACTCAATAAAAAATGAAAGCAGCTTGATATTTCCTGAAAGTACTATTTGATCATGTTGATATGGTCTTATAGTACTGCAATATTAATGAATACTATAATTATCAATTTTGAGAAATATATCACATTTACTGAAATAAATTATATATACATGATATATAGGGGTATATCAACTTCAGAAATATGATTTTTGTGACTTGTATGGAAGTTCCTTGTATAGCAATATAGATGACTTAATTATGCCAAAGGTAGATAACTGTACACATGGAACTTCCATACAAGACACAATATTGAAATGATGAACCAGCAGCTCAGAAAAGGGTTAAACATATATTATATCAGGGAGATCAGTATTGCCGTTGTCAAATTACATATCTGACACTTGTTTATGTAATATTTGATCTATTAATAATGTTGTCAATATATTGGATTTGTATGCAACTGTCATACAAGTGAGAGGTTTAGCTAGCCATAAAACCAGGTTTCAATCCACCATTTCCTACATAATGAAATGCTCTTACCAAGTCAGGAATATGACAGGTGTTTTCCATATGTTTGACAAATGTATGTTTGAGCTTTTGATTTTACCATTTGATAAGAGACTTTCCGTTTTGAATTTTCCTTGGAGTTTGGTTTTATTGTTATTTTACGTTTTAAAATTTCAGGCTTGCAGAAGACTTTCTAAGAAATACAGTTCTGATGGTACATTCAGGGATGCTACGATCTCAACCAGACAAAGTATCAAAAGGAGTGTTTATAGATTTGTTCAACTCTTTTGTAAAGATGTGTGGCTTAATTCCTGTGTAAGTTTATTAACAGTATAATCATACTCATGTTGTGTCCTTTTTATAGCCGACTATGCACATAAAAATAAGAAGTCATGATTGAAGGTGTAGCATGATTGCTAATGAGACAATTATATCCATTAGAGACCAAATGATGTAAATGCTATAAGTAACTATAGGTCACTGTATGCTTTCAACATGTTTTGCTCATTGTTGAAGCTTTTACAGCGCCCTCTAGTGGTTTACTTCCTTGTCATGCTCGCCCTAAAGGTCTCTGGTTGATAGTTTCAAGAACAATTTTAAGAAAAATCTATGGATTTAGAGTTGGAGATTTGATGATTTTAAGACAAATTAAAGAACCTTTTTTGCTGATTCTATGTGCTTTTTACACTAACTTTCAAGGATCTCATTTAGTAATATTTTAAAAAGTAAAATTTTGACTAAATCTGTGACATAGCCCATTTTGACCTTAAACATTAGTTTTTTTACTTCCCAACCATTGCATTTAAAAAAATGAAATTAGCTTGACTTTTACGCAGACCATTTTGAGGATCGCAAATTGAACTGTGAAGTAAACACTAATTTGATTAAAACCTTTTGCTCTCAACTGGAGGTTGATACCAAAAGTCTATATACATATACTTAAACAATGCATGCATACACATACAGCTTCGTATTATCTTTACACCTGTATTTGTATAGTAGAAAGGTTGATTGCAGGATAAATATAGGTATACAATTCTATTCCAAAGTAAATTGCTGTGTCAAAACATTATTGTTTGTTATTTGCAGAAGTGGTACCGAGTGGAGGTCAAAACAAAACATTCTCCAGAGTGAAGTATTGTCAGAACCAGATGTTATACTTACTACTGCAGACTCATTGGAATCGATCGTCTTTCCATTAAGTGCAGTATCTGTAGTATCTATTGTGGACATTTTAGAGGTAAACATTGTTATAATTCCATATAAAAAACATACAAGCAGTCAGGGGTACTACTTGTACAAGTTATTTTTATATAGTAAATAAGAATATACTTATTACTTGTATCAGTAATATTTTTTTTACAATCCCTAAAATTCTCATGTTTTGGGATTGTAAAAACATGCCTTAAACAATTTTTCTCTGGTTAGGTCATAATTTTTTATTATAGTTCAATGTTTCATCTTATTAATTCAACAAAGAAACTAATTGTGCAAAGATCTGAAGTAATTGTGCAAGGCTTTCAAAAATTTACATTTTGTCACTTCATGGCCTATTATAGCTGACTACGCAGTTAGGATTTGGCTCATTGTTGGAGGCTGAATGGTGACCTGTAGTTGCTAACACTCATGTCATTTGGACTCTGGTGGATAGTTGTCTTATTGGCAATCATACCACATCATCTTGTTTTTATATGAAAAGATAAAGCCGTTAAAAATTGACAGTCTGCACCAAAAAAATTTCCAAGTTCTAGTCCGAAGACAAAAATTCAGACATTTTCCTTAAGGATGTACACCTCTGAGGAGCCAAAAATTTCTAGAATTAAACTTTTTTTCTTAACCTGATTTTTGGGTTAATATGACTCTAAAAAAATAATTGGTGAAGAAAAAATCATATGGTGGTGCACTTCTTTTTTTGCTACGGTCCTTTGAAAGTACCCAATTTTGATGATTTTCCCATTTTTCATCAATTCTTACTTATTTTTGGGCTATTATCGTGAAATAGTTTCACAATTAAACTTTTTTTCATACTTTCAATAAAGATGAAGTGAACCAATTTGAATAAATTTAACCTAAAAAAACTATAGGTAGGTGTAAAAATAAGAAAGTTTTATCATATTTCGATGCTTTTTTGTGTCAAATTTACCATGCTGTCAATTTTGTAAATTTGTGATTTTTCTCTGTTTTAAGAACAAAATGCATATTATTTCAACTTCTTTGTTATAAATGATTGAAAAAATACATATCTAAGAAATTTGAAAAGAAAAAAGTGATATGGGATGTACATGTTTCTGGTAAAATCATTTCTTGTACCCCTCACCCATTTTCTCAAAATTTTGGCTAAAAAGACTGACTTGATTGGTAATAAACTTTGAAAAATTGATTTCTCAAAAACTACTTATTGTAAATATACAATTTTTTCACAGAGTTAAGTTTGATTATAACATTTTTTAAATTCATTCATATTTTCCACTTGTATCATATATTTTGGAAATAATTCCAGAATGAGATTTCAACGAGACAAAAACGTCAGAAGAATACATCCTTAATATGTGTCTAATTAAAGTTCAGTCTTCACGATAAACTTTTAGATCTACAGGCCCGGAAGTAAATTTTTGGAAAAATTTAGTTAGATTCTGTTGGCCTGTAGACATGATTTTTACAGGCCCTAGAGCAATTTTACAAGCCTGGGCTGCTGGGCCTGTGGTTCAGTGTGAAGACTGAAAGTTTTGCAAAAATTTGCTACTCTGAATAAAATTTTACTAGCCTGGGGCAGTTCTTTCTCTGCAAGTGTAATTTGTTGTGTTGATTATGACAGACGAAAGTCATGTGATTGTTAGTTTTCCTACTGGGCACTCTAGCTTTCTCCACCAATAAAAACTGACTGCCACGAAATAGCCAATAATGTTAAAAGTGGCATTAAACACCTATCAATCAAACAATCAACCAATGAAAGTCATGTTATAAGTTGCTTTCTATGACAAGTCATGAATTAAGAGTGAAGGGCAGGATTTTGACTTAAACTGTATGAATGTATCCATGCACAGTTTTTGCCCTACAGATAGAGAGTTATATTATATTGAAAAAAAATTACTACTGTGGATTCATTTATTTTCATGGATTCAAAGAAGAGGGTGGTAAAGGGTTATTTTCGTGCAACGTGTTTTGCCATTTTTATTTCATGTGCAGCCGTGAAAAAGGTTCGTTATTCACCGTGTTTCGTGAAATCGGTAAAAAGATCAACGTGCAAGAAATTTTTAATTGTTCATTCATTGTGAAATGACAATTCTATTTTGCGTTCTTCCGTGCAGATACCCCCCTTAACGCCCCTCAAAGAACATTGTATTTTCGTGGCTATTTGATATCTGGGTTTTAAATTAGTCTGAATACAAGTTAATAAAAAATTTGTACTTCATTGCACATTTTAATTAGTGGTTCACCTTTAATCAAGAAATCAACGTGAATTGGTATCCAACGAATAAGAATGAATCTAAAGAACCTCAAATAGAATTTCAACATGCTTGAACCTCTTAATAAAACGAGATGTGGAGGTACTGGTATACGTTAAAAATAGCAGGAAACAATAAAAATGTAGAAGATTCAATATAGAATAAGGAGATATGGTATGATTGCCAATGAGGCAACTATACAACAGAGATAAAGTGATGTGAATGTAAGCAATTTTAGGTCACTATATGGCCTTTAAAAAGTAGGAAAAAAACGTAACCATATATATAGTCAGCTACAAAAGGCCAAGACGTGAAAAAAATGTGAAACAATTAAAAAAAAAAAAACCAAAACAGAAATGAAAAACAAATAGAGGAGAAGTAACCAATGACAATCACTGAATTACAGGCGCCCGAGTCGTAGTCCTGACTTTGGACAGGCGAATAAAGAATGTGGCAGGATTAAAAATACCTATTTAGCAGGACCACATGAGAACAAATAGTAAAAATCATTTGTAGATGGCTTGACTCATTAGATTAATAGAAAGTCAATTGATAAGGGATATCCATCCATGACACAAAGTCAGTACCTGCACAGCAAATAAACACACAAAAAGCAAAAGAACAGTGCTTTTATTGCTGTTCTTCATCTCAAAGTCACAAGCCTATTTCAGGTATGTAATCATGGTAATCAAAATTGAAAGACCAAACCTAAAAATAATTCCTGATATAATATTTATGCCATGGAAATGTGAAATCAAGGTGATTTGATAAAAAAACAGGCCATAATCTTGCCGGCGAAATGACGATTTAAGTCGCCAAAGAATTTTGAAAATCGCTAAATCTCGCCGGCCGACTGACTTCATAGCGAAGACAAATCGCTATCAAAATCGGTAAAAGGGAGACAACTTGTGATTGACAAGTCTCACAGGTAAAAAAAATGGCGGCTGACAAGGAAACTCGAGATTTTCGAAACGACCCAGGACTAATACTGTCAACGATCAAATTAAATAAATACAACGGCGACTTTGAACATCCTCGGATATAACTTTCAAAACTGTTCAAACGGAAAACTGACCGTCTGTTTAAGTTATCATATTACGATAATTTTCATCTGAGGATGTTGCGTAATCACTCAGCTGATTTGTTTTATTTTTACAACTTACACGAATCGATCAATTTTACTATTCGGTAGGTAAAAGGTTGGAATTAACGGTAGATTTATTATATTGATTGAATAAAAATTGAAATATAAAAGGTAGAAAGACTGCTGATGGATAATGTGATGGCAAACGTACGACACTCGACCAGGTTATGATCAGCAGTGGATTGTTTCTCACGACCATTTCGTTGATATGGATGATATTTTTAAAAAATGATAGTAATTAGCTCTTTGTCGGATAATTAATATGCGATTGAAAAATATTTTCATTTATAGACTTACAATCTTTAACGATAATCTCAATTTACAACTAACATAATGTCCTGGACATTCAATAATGTTTTACAAAATAATGACAAGTGGTGATATTAATTAAATTCCCAGTCATGTGCAATTCAACAGGAAAACTGGGAGTTATATTTTTTCTGGAATTTTAAAAATAAATTGAGGCAGATGCACATGAATTTAATGCATCATAATCATGATAATATTACTAGGCTACTCCCTCATGTCCCAATCAACAAATTTTATTTTATAGAACACAATGGTATCAATAAATAAATAAATAACAACTATATATTGTCTAAACCTTTTTATTAAGAACTTTCTATATATACATTGTGTACAATAACATATGAAAAAACTGCAAGTATATCTTTTATTGAATATAAAACAATTTCCTTAGTGATAAGCACGAAAACACGATGCAACCGAAACGGTAATGGAATCTCACTTCTCCAAGAAATTGACCACTTCTCCCTTCTCTCTCTTGGAAGGAGAAGTCACTTCTCCCTCTTCAAAATCCTAGATTAGGCCCTGAAAAATGCATATAAGCATCTGAAAAAGGATTTTTCTATTAGTCTAAAGAAAGTAGTGGAATGCAGCATTCATTTCCCTATTATAATATTAATGGGAGATATGATATATATGAAGATTTACTCACCATGGAAAAGTCATACATGTGTTTCAAACATACAGTGCCTTCTAGTAAAATGACTTATATATGAAAAAGGAAAGCATCTCTGTATCATGTTTATATACAATTATTATCCCCAAGGCAATACTTGAGGGTCTGGATGGGATTTACAGAATAAAGAATAATATATAGACAAAAGGTGTAGAGTAAAGTGCAAAATAAGTAAGGAATATAGAAAAATAGACCCAAAGAAAATAAAGAATAATGATGGGGTATTAAAATATAAACATGATAAAGAATAGAGAATCCTGCATCCAGAAGCTCATGTACATTTTGTACTACAAATGTAATGATTATAGTCTGATTTTTTTTTTATGAAAAAAGAGATGTGGTATGATTTATAATGAGACAAGTATCCTTCAAAGTACAAATGACATACAATCGAAAGTGGTTGTGTAGAACTCCGTTGTGTCAAAAACTTGGATGAGTCGAAGTGATTAGTGGAACTTGATAGATTTTTTTTTTTCAGGATGAAAACATGTCTGCACAATTGAATGGTCATGATGTGAAATTTGAATACCCAGAGAGAACAAGAACGAGAAGAAGTATATCTTCATGCTCTATGTCAAGTGACGAATCTGACGAGGAACCTGTTATATACGGAAGAATAAGAGAGAAAGTACTCTGTCAGCATGCTGGGGATCTACTGATGCATACACTTGAACATAACAAATGGAGAAATAAATTTGACTGTAAAACAAAAAAGTCAAAGTACCGACCTGGAATTATTGTTGTAGGAACACAGGTATAAACTCCTGAATATTTATGCATGTCAAATAGTACTTACTTTAGCTGCCTGACAGTCAGCAGTCTTTGTAAAACGAAATATTCAAGTTTCCTTTTCCAAATTTTTAAAAGTTCTTATTCCTTGTTTTGTTTGCAGAATTGTAGCTCTCTTTTATTTAAGCCCCTGTGCGACACATTGCTAGAGAAGATAAGAAATACTGGGCATCTGTTCGTCCGTCCTTCTGTCCAGTCTTGTTAGCGCTCTCGCGTGTACAATTCTTGCCAGATTTTTATATCAGCATTGTCTTGGACAAGTTTGAAAAATCAGTGCCGATCAAATATTTTTAAAAGAGTTATGCCTCATGGAAATATTAATTATATCTTTTATATGGGAAATTGTGTTGAATTTGCTCTCAAGCCTTTATTTCTCTAAGATATATGTAAAAAGTTTTAAAGAACCAAAAAAAAAAGTTTTTTTTAGTTATTGTTCTTGGATAGCATGGATCATGTGGATAGATAAAAAATGTCCAATTCCGGGGACATTGGAACTCTGTTCTTTTATCAGATTTTTTGTTCTAGAGCTATGAGGCTAATAATTACGAAAAAAACAGAAAATTCATCTGTGTTTTGAAAAACTGAAGTTAAGGATTTTCCTAATTTTTCATGATAATGTTTGATATAGAGAAATGAGTTTCTCCTTTAATGTGTCTATTGTTTACTTCTAAATTTTAAGTGTCAAAAAATAGAAAATCTTTTTATATTGTACTATTACTCATGCTCATGTTTGCAATTGTTCACAAGTTTTGGGAGTAGTTGCCTAAGAAGCCAATCTTATTACCTGTTCCACTTAAGCCAAGAATATTTTATCCAAGATGTTGAAATTATCAGACACTCCTTATTTTACCAATATTTGTGGCTTGCCTTGTATCTTGAAAACTAAAATAAATATACAACAATGTAAAAAAAAACATATGTTGTGTGAGTAAAAGACACAATAAAAACCAGCACAGTCCAGCTAGTATAATAAAGATAATCACTAATTGAAAAATAAAAGACATTGCATGTTGATTTCTCTTTTTTTATGCAATCTTTAAAAAGGCCAACCTATGTTTAGATCTAAATCATGCTGATACAGTATATATTTTACACAAACAGTAAATCGTAAATCTTATATATAATTTACATAAGGGAGCTACCATTTGATTTTTAGGGGGGGGGCTAGGATGAAATTTGAAAAAAAGGGCAAGACAGGAGTTTTGAGTAAAAAAAAAAAGGCAGGATAAGCAACTTGGCAAAAAAAAAGCAGGATGACAATTTATGTAAAAAAAGTCAGGATAAACTAATAAAAATAAAAGACAGGACCGAATAGAGTGAAAAATAAAAAGGCAGGACAGAGATAACAACTAAAAAAATGCAGGCCAAGTTTTTCATCCTGCCCCCCATAAAAATCAAAAAAGGAATTTCCCAAAATATTGGACAGTACAACAAACCATAATAACCACCTTCACCAAACTCCTTTGAAAATTGTTTATCAAGGAAAGACAAACAGGGACAATCAACACATGTGATCCTTATTCCATTATTTCGGTATAGGTACACATTGTGGTTTGGTTAAACCAGTTTTACATACATGAAAACCTTCCCTTTTGCATTTTTTGACTATTTGTCATTAAGAAAAACATGGTCAAACACATTAATCATGATAAAATTAAGATAAGAAGATGTGGTTTGATTGCCAATGAGATGACTCTCCACCAAAGACCAAATGACATGGAAGGTTTACAACTAGAGGTCACCATACAGCCTTTTACACTGAGAAAAATCCATACCACGTAGCAAGCTATAAAAGGCCCCAAAATGACAAATGTAAAACATTCCAAAAGAGAACACTTATTGCCTGGTTTTTGTATAAAACAGTAAAAAAATTAAAAACAAATATGGAAAACAGCAACAAAAGACAAACCACTGAATTACAGGCTCCAGACTTGGGACAGGCACATACAGAATGTGGTGGGATTAAACATGTTTGGGGACTTTCCAACCCTTCCCCTTACCTAGAACAGTGGTGTTACAGCCCAACATAACAAAAAAATATAAAAATCAGTTAAAAAGGGCTTTACTCACCAGATCAAAAAAAAGCACAAAAATGACTAGCAAAAAAACAGCAGACACAATGTTCATATTTACTGTATGTCATTTATTTGTAGGTTACATTCACTCTTTTGGACTACAGTTTTGATCATCACAGAGAATTAAAATCTGGAGGTGTTGAAAGGGAAAGAAGTTATATATACTACTCAGAACCAATGGATATTTTAAAGAAAGAAGAGCGGGATTTATTGCTTGAGGCATTAGTTAGAATGAGAAATACTGTAGATAGTTGAGATTCTTCTACCATTGAGAACAAAAGCATTTAAGGTTTTTGTACACAAATTACCTAATGCCAAGTTGACTGTTTTGCTGACTATGCATTTCTTCTTAATTGTTGGAGAAGAACTATGGTTTACGCCCAAAGCTGAGCACAATACAAGCAATCATCTTTGTTTCAAATTCAGTTGAATTTAAGAAATGGTATTTTTACTTTATTGCAAACCAGATGAAAAAGACCAAAATTGTGATTTTATGCAAAATAATGATCATTTTTTAATGAAAGAGTTGAAGTCTCAATGTGTTTGATTTCATATCAGAATATCTGATTATGTTCAAAAATGCTGTGATTGAATGGCTATCATTGTCAGGAGATGGGAGTGCTGTGATTGAATGGCTATCATTGTCAGGAGATGGGAATGATGTGAATAGTTTTTATTCTTGGGTAAAACATTTATTTATTTATTTTTGATTTTGATTTGAAAAAGAAGACATATTTTTCTACTGTTAGAACAAAACCAAATTATCATTTCACATGAAAATGTAAGAACAAATATACCCACTGTGTGTATAATGAATTAAGGTATTAATCAGCATCATTATATAGCTGTATTAAATATAAGTACTCTCTGGCTTAGTCTCATTTTTATACACTCGTTTACAAGATATATTATGGTATACAGTTGTCCGTTGGACACAATAACTCAAAAACGTTTTAACCAATTTGCATGAAACTTTGGTGAATTGTTTATATCTAATGACGGTAGCTCCATTTAATTTTTATAAATTTTAGATTTTACGTTTCTGAGTTATCATGGTTATGGGATTCTATTCATAAAAAATGGGTGATTTTCCAGTTTTCGGATGATAGCTCAAAAATGCTTTGAGCAGTTTTCATGAAATTTTGGTGACTGGTTTCTATCTATTAAAATATCTCCCTCTAGTTTTTATACGACCGCAAAAAAAATTTTGTGGTCGTATATTGGTATGACGTTGGCGTCATCGTCGTCGTCGTCTGGCTTCGTCCGAAGACACATTGGTTTTCGCACTCTAACTTTAGTTTAAGTGAATGGATCTCTATGAAATTTTACCACAAGGTTCAATACCATAAAAGAAAGGTTGGGATTGATTTTGGGGGTTATGGTACCAACAGTTAAGGGCCAAAAAGGGGCCAAAAATAAGCATTTTTGTCGAGCCTTCGACTTTAGTCGAAAAAGCGAGACATAGCGATCCTACATTCCGTCGGCGTCGTCGTCGTCGTCGGCGGCGTCCACAAATATTCACTCTGTGGTTAAAGTTTTTGAAATTTTAATAACTTTCTTAAACTATCCTTGATTTCTACCAAACTTGGACAGAAGCTTGTTTATGATCATAAGATAGTATCCAGAAGTAAATTTTGTAAAAATAAAATTCCATTTTTTCCGTATTTTACTTATAAATGGACTTAGTTTTTCTGCCGGGAAATATTACATTCACTCTGTGGTTAAAGTTTTTAAAATTTTAATAACTTTCTTAAACTATCCTGGGTTTGTACCAAACTTGGACAGAAGCTTGTTTATGATCATAAGATAGTATCCAGAAGTAAATTTTGTAAAAAAATAAATCCATTTTTTCCTTATTTTACTTTTAAATGGACTAAGATTTTCTGCCAGGAAACAACACATTCACTCTGTGGTTAAAGTTTTTAAAATTTTAATAACTTTCTTATACTATTTTGGATTTGTACCAAACTTGGACAGAAGCTTGTTTATGATCAAAAGCTAGTATCTAGAAGGAAATTTTGTAAAAAAAATAAATCCATTTTTTCCATTTTTTACTTTTAAATGGACTTAGATTTTCTGCCAGGAAACAACACATTCACTCTGTGGTTAAAGTTTTTAAAATTTTAATAACTTTCTTATACTATTTTGGATTTGTACCAAACTTGGACAGAAGCTTGTTTATGATCAAATGCTAGTATCTAGAAGGAAATTTTGTTTTCTTCCAGTTAACATTACATTCAGTCTGCAGTTAAAGTTTTTAAACATTTATTAGATTCATAAACTATCCTGGATTTTTACCAAACTTGGACAAAAGCTTCTTACAATCAAAAGATAGTATCAAGAGGAATATTTTTATTGATTTATTTCCTCATTTTTGTTGAGCCTGCGATTAACAGTAAAAGTAGGCGAGACACTGGGTTCCGCGGAACCCTTACGAATTTTTGTAACTTCCAGACATAACTTGTGTGTTAGTGTATGGATCTCTCTGACATTGTACCACAAGGTTCCATATCACAAAAGGAATGCTGGGATTGATTTTGGGGGTAATTGCCTCAAAATTTTAGGAATTAGGGGCAAAAAAAGGGGCAAAAAACAAGCATTTTTCTAGTTTCATGACAATAACTTGTGTGTAAGTGTATGGATCTTTCTCAAATTGTACTACAAGGTTCCATATCACAAAGGGAAAGCTGGAATTGAGTTTGGGGGTAATTGCCGAAACGTTTAGGAATTGGGGGCCAAAAAGGGGCTAAAAATAAGCATTTTTCTAGTTTCCAGACAATAACTTGTGTTCAAGTGTATGGATCTCTCTGAAATTGTACTGCAAGGTACCATACCACAAAGGGAAGGCTGGGATTGATGATGGGGGTAATTGCCTCAATATTTTAGGAATTAGGGGCCAGAAAGGGGCAAAAAACAAGCATTTTTCTAGTTTCAGGACAATAACTTGTGTGTAAGTGTATGGATCTTTCTGAAATTGTACTACAAGGTTCCATATCACAAAGGGAAAGCTGGGTTTTAGTTTGGGGGTAATTGTCCTAAACGTTTAGGAATTTGGGGCCAAAAAGTGGCCAAAAAACACATTTTTCTAGTTTCCAGACAATAACTTGTGTTCAAGTTTATGGATCTCTCTGAAATTGTACTGCAAGGTACCATACCACAAAGGGAAGGCTGGGATTGAGTTTGGGGGTGATGAATCATAAGGGGGTTCAAAAAATTTGGGGGGGGATTTTTTTTTTTTCTTTTTTTCCTTTTTTTTTCTTTTTTTCCTTTTTTTTTTTCTTTTAAAATTTTCCATTTTAAGTTGGTTATTTCTGATTTATATTTAAAAGCAAATAATAATGATATGGTAGGAGATACACACCAAACAGGATGTGTAAATTATTATATAAGTATTGTGCAATAGCAAGAAATTTTCAATTGCACAGTATTGCACAATAGCAAGAAATCTTCAATTGCACAGTATTGTGCAATAGCAAGAAATCTTCAATTGCACAGTATTGCGCAATAGCAAGAAATATCCAATAGCACAATATTGCGCAATAGCAAGAAATTGTCAATTGTACAGTATTGCGCAATAGCAAGAAATATTTAATTGCACAGTATTGTGCAAAAGAAGATACTTCGTATAAATTGCTTATTTCTTGACCAATTTCAATGGGGTTTTATTCTTGAATTCTTGGGGTTCTTTAATATGCTGAATCTAACCGTGTATTTAGTTTTTGGATTTTGGGCCCCGTTTTTAAATTGGTCCACATTGGGGTCAAAAGGGTCCAAAATTAAACTTTGTTTGATTTCATCAAAAATTGAATTATTGGGGTTCTTTGATATGCCGAATCTAACCGTGAATTTAGATTCTTAATTTTTGGTTCCATTTTCAAATTGGTCTACATTAAGGTCCAAAGGGTCCAAAATTAAACTTAGTTTGATTTTAACAAAAATTGAATTCTTAGGGTTCTTTGATATGCTGAATCTAAACATGTATTTAGATTTTTGATTATGGGCCCAGTTTTCAAGTTGGTCCAAATCGAGGTCCAAAATTAAACTTTGTTTGATTTCAACAATAATTGAATATATGGGTTCTTTGATATGCTGAATCTAACCATGTACTTAGATTTTTGGATATTGGACCATAATAGGTGAATGTCCAATTTAAAATTTTTAAGTTCTTAGACCACATTCATTCTGTGTCAGAAACCTATGCTGTGTCAAATATTTAATCACAATCCAAATGCAAAGCTGTATCAAGCTTGAATGTTGTGTCCATACTTGCCCCAACTGTTCAGGGTTCGACCTCTGCGGTCGTATCAAGCTGCGCCTTGCGGAGCATTTTATTTTTTTATAAATTTCTGATATGACATTGAGGAATTATGGAACTTGATTCGTTGAAAAAGCGACGGTTGTATCATGCAGCTCTTTATTATAGAATCCAATGTCACATTTATTGACCTTACGAACTCTTCTCACTAGAAGTAGGGGCTGTAATGCAATCCCCTTGCCCATTCCTCACTTCATCCAAACGTCCCTCCATCCTTCCAGTCATCTGTCCACTGTTTTAGTATAAACTACATAACAGAATGATTTAGTATTTAGTCAGCACCTTCAAAACATATAATGCTAATATAAGGGCTTTTTATGTCTTTCAAAAATGAATTTCCTGTTTTGCCACTCGACAGATTGAATATTTCAGCATATTTTTTTAAACCAATACTCAATAGAATGAATTTTTGTTTAGTTAGCAGTCTTTTTTTTTGTTTTTCTCACAAACTAGCTATGCTTATTGTAATCCGAAATGTCAGCACTTTCATATTTATATCAGAATAAGCATTATGAATTCTGTTCATCACAAATACTAACACTGCCTCGGTGGCAGAGTGTTTGCCTTGATTGCTGGAAGTCCTGGGTTCAAACCCCGGCCGGGTCAAACCAAAGACTTTAACATTGGTATTTGCTACTTCTCTGCTAAGCACAAAAATGCTTTGAGCAGTTTTCATGAAATTTTGGTGACTGGTTTCTATCTATTAAAATATCTCCCTCTAGTTTTTTTTTTATAAATTTCTGATATGACATTGAGGAATTATGGAACTTGATTCGTTGAAAAAGCGACGGTTGTATCATGCAGCTCTTTATTATAGAATCCAATGTCACATTTATTGACCTTACGAACTCTTCTCACTAGAAGTAGGGGCTGTAATGCAATCCCCTTGCCTATTCCTCACTTCATCCAAACGTCCCTCCATCCTTCCTGTCATCTGTCCACTGTTTTAGTATAAACTACATAACAGAATGATTTAGTATTTGGTCAGCACCTTCAAAACATATGATGCTAATATAAGGGCTTTTTATGTCTTTCAAAAATGAACTTCCTGTTTTGCCACTCGACAGATTGAATATTTCAGCATATTTTTTTAAACCAATACTCAATAGAATGAATTTTTGTTTAGTTAGCAGTCTTTTTTTTTTGTTTTTCTCACAAACTAGCTATGCTTATTGTAATCCGAAATGTCAGCACTTTCATATTTATATCAGAATAAGCATTATGAATTCTGTTCATCACAAATACTAACACCGCCTCGGTGGCAGAGTGTTTGCCTTGATTGCTGGAAGTCCTGGGTTCAAACCCCGGCCGGGTCAAACCAAAGACTTTAACATTGGTATTTGCTACTTCTCTGCTAAGCACAAAAATGCTTTGAGCAGTTTTCATGAAATTTTGGTGACTGGTTTCTATCTATTAAAATATTTCCCTCTAGTTTTTTTTTTATAAATTTCTGATATGACATTGAGGAATTATGGAACTTGATTCGTTGAAAAAGCGACGGTTGTATCATGCAGCTCTTTATTATAGAATCCAATGTCACATTTATTGACCTT